ATTTTCTTTCTATATGCTCCCCCATATATATATATATATATATATATATATATATATATATATATATATATATATAAAGTGAAATTCAATTTTTTATGTATTTCTGAATTAATTAAATCAAATATTACATTATTAATTAGAATGAGCCTGTTACAAATCACATGTCTGTATTTTAATGTTTTTGTGCCTTTCTAAGCACTCACCTGGAGTCTATGAACCTCTGGCATGTGTCCATCACATGCTCCATCTGTAAATATGTGGCTGTGTTGAGGGTGGCTATAATGAAGTTATCTTTAAGTGTGAGGCAAGACGTATACATGAACTCCAACAATATGGCAAAGCCATCGGGGTCCACCTTTGGATCTAAACTTATGATGCTCAAGGTACTTTTATAAGCATCTGCAAACATGGAGTAGAAGAGGCCGCTGAGAAAAGACAAGATGGAATACAAATGTCACTTACTGTGCATGTCATGTATTTGAAATTGTGCAAAATGCAAAAACCACAGTGCTACCTGCATGCCATCAGAACTGTCTTATGGGCCCGGAAATGCTGCCCACCGACCACAATGGTGACATCGGTCAGGATGTTTCTGCTGCGGAGGCGGTTGAAGTTGAACAGCACATCACCAGCATGGCGAGTGAACTTAATGCAGCCGTCTGCTGCACTTGACATTGTTCACCTGCACAGAAATCATTCAAAATCAAGTAAAACAAAATGCATAAATAAATAAATACCCATTTGGTTACTAAAGCTAAAGAAAAAACAACAACTATATCACATCATATATATATATATATATATATAAAATCTGTGTAGTTATATCTAATGTTACACAATAGACTATATTGTTACCAACCAAAAATCTTCATGTCAAAACTGAAGGCGTGCAAGTTTAGTCAAATGAACTCTAGATGTCCACAAGATACATGAGGCCCAACAATATTTTGTATTTAATTTTCTTTGTGAAATATCGAATCCTTTAATGATTACGTCTCTGTAGTCATCATTTGCTTTGAGTTTGTTCATTGTATTTAATTTTAGATGGTTCTTAAGTAAAAAATAAGGTATCAAATTGATGTTTTACACATATGCACATACTGTACAATTTATACTTACTTTCCAATCTTTAAAATCCCCCGTAACGGCTATATTCATATAATGTTCATATTTACTAATTGCATTTGACTTGAGATGCCAAAGTATGCAGACTAACCTAGAGAGCTGCCTACCTAGACAACATTTTTGGGCATCACAGGTGCAACCAATTTTTACAAAAAATAATAATTTACTCTTTTACTGTATATCAGAGATGCGATACCACAAAAATGCCGTCTAAGTAGGCAGCTCACAAGGTTTCATTCACAACCCCCGAGTCATCAAATTAATCAGAGCTTAAGCTTTTGATATTAAATTCTGCATCACCTTTCCCTTAAAAAAACATGCATTCCCTTACCAAAAAGTAGTATACTTCAAGTTTATTTTAGTAAGTATACTTAAGTAAAGTTCAAGTATATTTTTAAGTATACTTTATGTAGTAAGTATACAAATATCAGTGTACTAGTAGTATACTTGTAAGTGTACTATTTCAACACTCCTTGGGACTAAATTGGCCCACTTTCTAGTATATAACAGTATACTTTATATTACCTCCATGACGTTACACAGTTTTGATGCTGTTTTATGTCTGATGATCGTGTTAGAATACATGTGGAAGCGTCTGTTGTTTCGGTTTCTTCTTCACTTGTGTTTTTTGGGAATTCTGTACAGAAGATGTGTACTAGCGTCGCTTACAGTATGAAAACACGGATTCTAGGAGCACAAGTATAGCTCAGATATATTTAGACTTTTTCTAAGTATAAGTCAAGTATACTTAAATGTCATTATAAGTATATTTCTGAGAAGTACATAAAGCCCATGTCTGAGAAGTACATAAAAAGTAGACTAAAAGTATACTTTCCTATTTTTAGATTAAAAGAAGTATACTAATAATAGCACACTTGGATAAACTTCTTTTTCGTAAGGGTGACCATGCATTTAGACAAACATCACTGTATAGGGAGGGAGCAGCAGGCTGTTTGATTTAAGACACCTGCGTGCAATGCAAGCCTGGAGTCTTCTATGAGTGGCACTTGTTGAGCAGCGAAGGTTCATGTTGATATATCAAATATTATTGAAGTATTATGAGGAGAAGTTTATGACTAAAAGCCACGTGAGTAGACGCTATCACAGGTGTTTGGTGTAAAACGAGCGTTTCGATTTGATACGGTATTGTTTCAGTGAAACAGAGACTACAGTACGCATATAATCGCAATCGTAAAAGAACATAACACATATTCGTATGCTGGATTTATTAACCTTGATCATTTATTACATTTTCAGTGAAATAGATCAGTTTGAGAGTTCACTAGCACTCACATTAGCATGTAGGAAACTATTCAAATATAGCAATTTTGACATTATTATTATTATTATTTTTTTTATGTATACGATCTATACGCGTCTACAGTGTTGTGATCACCCATGTTGTCTATTATAAGTAATAAACTTAGTTTCCAGCCCGTATAAAGTTGCATAAACCTGTCTTTACTATACAATCCAGAGCTTCCTAATCTAATGCAACTCCACACAGAGTGAAACTGACATACGAGACGAATAGGATTTAGTAATTCACTAATTAGGCCAACACAAGTCGAGTTGCGTAACGGACACCACAGCTCTCAATACAAGAAAGTAACGTTAGTCCGGTTTTAAAAGAAATTAAAAATCAGCTATATCAACAACTCGAGCGTCTCGTGTTTAGTCTAGACTTTTTGCTAGATAGAAGAAAATCACCTGGTGTATTTTTCTTGGAAGTGTCCGCCGAAGACAGTTCTTGGAAGAACTCTTCTGAGAAGACGCACTTCGCAATTCTCGGAATTTTACCAGTGGACTGTACCACTGACGCACCAGAGGGGGCACCCGGACACACTGTCCTCGCGCTTCAGCCGTGCTAAATTAGCTCTTAACGGAAATATCATTCAAGTCATTCTGAAGACTTTCAAATTAACGTGTATGCTTAATGGTATTGCTTTTAGCGCCTTATTTATTAACATCGTCGGAGTGATTACACGCCGCACCTCTGTAATTGTGGTGGTTTGCTCCAGAGACGCGGTCATAAGCTACGTCACTCGTCGTCCCACCCTTTCACTACTGTACAGATTCGGCAGAAATGGTTCCTCCCGATATCACCCCTCCATTATAATGTGTACATTATGCCATGTTGAATTAACTCGGCCATTGTCATCATAAGCTACATTTAAGTCTTATGAAGATAAATCACAAAGTAAATCACACAGATGTACAAAGAGCAATCTTTTTTTGCCTGTCCGAGATAAGTTGACAAGTCCTTTATAATCAATGATGACAGTAGGTTAACTATAATACCACAATGTTATTATTATATTATTATTACAATGTTATTATTACTTTTTTTTCTGAGTTGTCTATTTCATAAAGGGTGGAGATATTTCTTTCAAATCAATAAGCTTGCGATTTTGCTTAGTTTATAATAGATAAAAAGCTCAAACCACTTTCATTGGCTGCTTGCATTATTTGAGCATCTGCTAAATGAATGACTAAAAGTTAAACACGGACCTGATAAAAGTCTTACTCGCAAGAAAAATGTTCTCTGTATCCACATAGATTTGAATGAGTCAGGGAATGTGTCAGCATAATATACAATTTTACAGACAAAACATTGTTTAACAATGCATTTGGATCATTTAAGCAGGGGTTATTTCTGAATGTCCGAATTTTCATTTTTGGGCGAATTTTCCCTTTAATATTACCCTCTTCTAATTACATGCTCTCTAAAGTATAGCATCACAAGATCTGGGAGGTCACAGATTGATTACAGCATAGAATTAAGATGCCATGTGAGGCAAGAAAGATCTCTCTCTCTCTCTCTCTCTCTCTCTCACACACACACACACACACACACTCTCACACACACACACACACACACAGGTTTGTTTTTGTGAAAAGTGGGGACATTCCATAGGCGTAATGGTTTTTATACTGTACAAACTGTATGTGCTATTGCACTACACCAACCCTTCCCCTAAACCTACTCCTTACATGAATCTTTGTGCATTTTTACTTTCTCAAAAAAACTCATTCTGTATGATTTATAAACTTGTTTCCTCATGGGGACCTCAAAAATGTCCCCACAAGGTCAAAATTTACTAGTATTACTATCCTTGTGGGGACATTTGGTCCCAATAGCGTGATAAATACCAGGTACACACACACACACACACACACTTAAGCTCATGACTGCTTCAGCAGTGTACTGTAACTTAACACTCAACAAAGCAGCTATTCAGGACCATAACGCAGAGCACACAGTCCTCAACACTATTTATATATCAGTGTCAAAGAGGTACTGGAAACATGCACATTCGGTTGTGCAGAGACACCTCTCGTCTAACACACTGTGGTTCAGGTACTCCAAGAACAAAACTAATAGATGATTGTGAATTCCCTTAAGAAATACTAAAGTGAATGTGCATGATGAGAAATTACATTTTGGAGAGTAGTAAAAAAAAAAAAAAAAAAAGTAGCATGCTAGAAATGATGGCTGCACTGAAAGACTGGCCTAGAAATGTCTGCAATGCTGAGACAATCATTACAGTGTAGAGCTTTTATATTGCACATCTTCCTGACAGTTAAGTGAAGTTCTGTATTGCTTCTGAATGGGAAATCGTTTGTGAAGTTCTTTCATTGTGAAAGGTTGGCAACATGTCATATCTCTTAAACCTCATCGTGAAACTGCCCCCACCTCTCACACATCCAAATACACACTTCCTCTTTCTTCAGAAGAGGAAAGTGCCCTATCGGAAATAAACGCTGCTGTCAAAGACCTTTCATTCTCAGATGGACGATGAGTTGTTCTAGAGAGATTTGTCTCACGTTATACTTAGAGTGATTTCTGTGTTGTTGGTCATGCTTAAAGTGAAGGTCATTCTTTTCTTCAGAAAGGTGAACATAATATATATATTACATATTTATTGGCAGGCCCAGCTCGCCCCACCCAGAGTAATATACTTTTTATATGACTCGCCCTGAAAAATCTATGGCCCACTTTAAATAGACTATACTGCTTTATAACACTCATCTATCACACAAATCAATATACTTGTCAATGGCAACAATGCTGTATCCTTTTTACTCATCACTATCACACATCAAAGACATCGTTCAGAAAGTTGAGAGGCTGTTCCAAGAAAAGCATTCCTATACAGGCCATAGATGACTCAGTGACTGTCATCTAGTATGGTTATTTCGGTCCTTCAGGTTTTGTAGTGATCTGCAAGGCTGCACCTACAGAGGTGTAAACACTTCATTGAATAAGTCAGCTTCAGCTTCATACTTTAGCTTCAGATAAAACACAAATTTGTTTTGAAATATGTGTGAAAGAGTTCCTTAACGTTATGATGTTGTATTTGTGTGTTTTATACATATCAGAGTTGTTAGCTGTGTCAATAATAACTTTCAAAATTTGAGCTGTGTGGCTTGTAGTCAGTGTCTATTAGCTTAGCATATATGCTAGTGTATGCCTAGACATTAGTGACAATATATATTCACAAAAATGGGAGTTTGCTCACCCTCATGTCATTCCAAACCTATATGACTTTTTTCTTCTCTGGAATAGAAAACGAGATATTTTGAAGAATGTCAACAATGAAATGATTTTGGTTCCCATTGACTTCCTTAAATGTTGTATTTTAATTTTTTTTTGCTCCATACAATGGAAGTAAATGGGAACCAAAACTGCTTAGTTACCAGCATTCTTCAAAATATCTTCTTTTGTGTTCCATAGAAGAAAGAAAGTCATAGAGGTTTGGAACAATATGAGGGTGAGTAAACAATGACAGGATTTTCATTTTTGGATGGAAACTTTCATCCAGTGATATAACGAGTAGCTCCAAACATCTCCAGCTGAAAACTGTGACTGTAACTTATGTTGAAAGCATTTTCTATAGAAAAGTTCAAGCTTGTTTTAATAGGTGGTTCTGGTGGCCATATTTATCATTTAAGTAACAGCATATTGGCCTCATTTGTACTTTTCACTGTTCTGTAAAATAGTGCATGCCAATTACTTTATCATTCCTCTACACAAAACATCCATTAAAGTTGCCATGAAATCAAAGTTATGACGGTTACAAAAGTCATTTTATAACTGTGCTTTGATGCTAAATATTGACAACTTACACATTTATATCAAAATGACAGTCTTTCTCTTCTGAGAAAATGGACCAAAAATAAAGAACTAAACAGATTTTTCTCCAATCAAATATTTTCCAGAGCGAGAATTTATTTAACTCAATATAATCTGCAACCAACAATCAAGTAGAAAATCCATAGCTAAAGTTGGGTTGGCTGGTTACTTACGAAGAGCCCTTCAGTATGTTTCTGTTTCAAAAGGAAGAGTTCCCTTTCATAGGTTCCCTTTTACGTTGCGAAGCGGTCCCTATGGGAACACCAGGCAAGCTGAGGTTAGAATGGGACAGCAAGTCGATACAAAATCAGGCCCAGTCGAAACTGGATGACGGATTTTTGACTAGCCGCGCCCCAGCCCAGCCCCGTAGGCCTCTCCCCTTCTTCAAAGACCTCCACCAAGAGGTTTTGAAATCTTGGAAGCAACCCTTTTTGACCCGCATTACTAATCCCGCTGATGCTGACTTCACCAACGTCTCCAAAATGGCGGAGCATGGCTACGTGGCTATGCCGATTGTGAAAGAGACTCTCGTGGTCCATCTCGTGCCAAATTCAGCTCCGACTTGGAAGTCACACCCCCTACTGCCGTCCAAGCCGTGCAGGATTACTTCCACTTTAGTCTGGAAATCTTACATGGGCGCTGGACAGGCGGCAGCTACTCTTCATTCTATGGCTGTACTCCAAGCTTATCTAGCAGATGTGCATAAGGAGCTGGATGAGGGAGAAGGCCTGACTCCAGAAGCTGTTGGCGGGAATGGTGGCAGTTGAGCGCCATCTTTGGCTTACTCTCACTGACATACTCTCACTCTCAAAACTTTCCTTTTGGATTCCCTCATGTCTAAGGACGGCCTGTTTGGAGAATCGGTTACTGCTGTTGTGGAGAAATTTTGGGCAGCGATGCAGCTGTCTGCTGCTTTTTGCCAGCTCATCCCACGCAGGTCTAGGGAGGTTGGGCGGCAACCACCTGCAGTTTCTTCTTGCTCGTCTTCTCTGCAGCACCCTCGAGAGGTTCAGTGGAGTGAACCATTGCATATGGAACCCCCTCGTAAGGACTGGGGTCCTAGGTTTCGTCTACCGGTTCTCTTACGGCAACGCAGATGGATAGACCTGAGCTTAATGGCCAAGGCCTCTTGTCCTCAGGTCCCTAGTAGCAGTTACTAATTCCTTCACTCGTCCTCAGAGGTCAGGCCCTCTTTTGGAGAGTTTGGACAAACTGCGCAAGCGTATTCGCCTCACATCACCGGTCTTAACTGTCCTGCCGTATATTGCGCCTCGGTCGGTTCTAGGCCGACCGACGGCCGGCCTTCACGACGAGCACTACCTCAGACATCTGAACTTTCCAGCCTTCAGAGTTTGAGAAAAAGCCTTAGGGTCTTGCGCGCATGGCCCATTTATGATGCTGTTCAAAGCCCCCACTATCAATGTGGCGGGCTGGCCCAATTGACCAATTGGACAGCTCCATGTGTTTCGGGGCCCTATGCAGGGGGATCAGTCTATAACAATGAGTTCACTAAGTGCACTTATGGTTTTTGCAGACGCCAGCGGCTCTCTGCGATCAGAGGATGTTTTGGCACCCGCAGTTCAGCAGGTTTATTGGGCCGCGTGGCAACGCCTATCTGAGATCTCACATTGGGTACTACGGACCATTCAACACAGTT